GGCTCCTCTGAAGGAGACGTCGGCTCCTCTTAGGCCAGGCTCCTCTGCCGTGGCTTGATCCTCGGGTACAGCTGGGGGTGAAACCACGTTCTCATTAGAACACATTTAAACTCATACGAGCCAAAAACAAACAGATAAACAGAGCAATGGTGATAAAACAGCCTTGCTTGGTGAACTCTGAAAAATATATACAGTAGTAGAAAATATGGATAAAAAATTAGTCTTAAAAACATCTATTATTTACAATTTGAATTTATATTATTTCCATATTACATTATTTCCTGATGATGTTGATCTTCTGTGCTGGGCCATCCTTTTGGCTAAACAGCCACTGGCCAAAAGGATGGCCCAGCACAGAAGATCAACATCATCAGGCCAGGACTCTGAGGTCTACACTCATCTCCAGGCCAGCGGTCACTCTTTCAGGGATGAAGATGTTCACATCCTGGACAGAGAGGAACGATGGTTTGAGAGAGGAGTAAAGGAGGCCATCTTTGTGAAAAGAAACCGTCCATCATTAAACAGGGGTGGAGCCTCCAGGTTCAACTGTCCCCCTCTTACAATGCTGTGATTGCTAGTATCACTCAGCCCTCTGTGAATAGTAAACAGCCATCAGGTGCTAATGATCCATTGTTAGGCTGATGGTCCTTCTTGAGCATGTGATCAGCTGGTTCTGGTTGTCAGCAGCAAACTGGTTGATCCACTCTGAGAAGGTGCTATTTAAGAGACTGAGTTGAATACAGCTCCTCAGACTGAGGAAGTTTCTCGGATGAGAGACGAAACGTTTCTACAATTTTTTTTGTTTGTTTTTTTGAATGTCCAGAGGACCAGATTGAACTGTTTTAGACCCTGAAACTGGTTTCAGTACAGGGTGAGAATTTATTTTGAAGTTTCTGGTAAATTAAAAAGATTCCAGATTATTAAAATGATCAAATTCAACTTATATATATATATATATATATATATATATATATTAATCTTGTTAATTAACTTTTAATGAACTTTAGTTCAACATTAAATCTCTCATGAACCAGATTCTACAAAAACATCTACATTTAAATTTGTAAACGTTTTCTTCATTATTTGATGTATTTGTTTAATTCTTGTTTTGTGATTTGTACATCTGTGGGTTAGAATAAAGTTGAATTAAAGGCCATAACTCTTCTTTAAGCATATTTGAGGGAAATATTTCTGAGAGATCCAATAATGTTGTGTCTTTTTTATGATTTTTCAGCTGAGTTAACTTTAACAGATTATTTAATAGTCGTTAAAGTGACAACAGGTTTTCATGATAACGCCGGCACTGCTGGGACAACGACTTTTAAAAACATGCTTATATGTATAAAAAAAATACATTTTTTTTTACACATATAAGCATGTTTTTAAAAATCATTTCCGACGTTCGTCCCAGACCCTTCCCGGTCCGCCCGTCTGCCAGGGGTCGGGGTCCGACCTTCATGATCACTCGAGGCCAAGGCTGCGGCCCGGACCCTGGCCTTCTGCGAGTCAGCAGCTCATATGATCCTCCATGGTGACCAGCGGAGCTTGGAGCTGCAGAGCACGCAAGGACGGGGCACAGAGCCCGAGCCCCGAGTCGGCAGCACAGAGGATCCTCCGCAGTGACCGGCGGAGCTCGGAGCTGGGAAGATGACGCCCTGCACAGCCTGAGGGGGCTCCAAAGCTCTGGTGGAGAGGACTGGAGAGAGTCGGGGCCTGGCGGAGCTCCATGTAGCTCATTCTGAATTTTGTCATCAGCCACCAAGCACAAAAAACGCCTGCACTTCAGCATTAATGTGTTATGTATTGTCATCATTGTATGTTCCCATACAATGGTGAAATTGGCTCTGTGCTTTTAACCCATCCACCACCAGGTGGAGCAGTGGGCAGCTATGGAAAGCACCCGAGGAGCAACTGGGGATAAGGTGTCCTGCTCAGAGACACCACAAAATGTGCAATGACCGGAGACTGAAACCAGAACTTTTGGGTCCCGAGTTAGCTGCCCTGCTCCTACACCATCTCGGCCCCATTAGACCACGGTGTTGTCATTATTGTTTTTAAAATCTTTAAAATAGGTCCAGCTGCTCCTCGAGTTCAGGTATTGCAAATGGCGGATCATGTTGTGAAAAGTTTCTCAAACAGCCAGTGACTCCACCCCCTGACCAATTAAGCCCCTTATCCACGGGTCTTTTTGGTACTCCTATGTAACTAGTTGTGGCCGATTGCAGGATTTATCAACAATGCCTTTAACGGTGGAACCCACCCCATTTTTGGGACCTAAATCACTGAGGTCCCAGGTCTGGTTCTTTTAGGGTCTAGTTGTGACATCACCGCACTGTAGGTCACTGATTGGTCAGGGGGCGTATTCATTGGTGGAGGGCGGAGATTCAGTCTTCCACCGGAAATCACAATCCACCATTTTCTTTTTCACCCGCATAACAGACAACAAGAAATCGGAGGAGCTTATTTTGGAATATTTTATAAAGTAAAACAAATAATCATGGCACAACCGTGGTCGAATGCTGAAGTTCAGGCATTTCTCTGTTTGCTGGCCGATGAACAAGTGCAGCGCGAGCTAGATGGAACGAAACGAAATGAAAAGATTTTTCAAGAGGTGTCTGCGCAGATGGCAGTGCAGGGCTCCATCGCACACCAAAGCAAAGAGGAAAGCTTAAAAAACTAATAGTTGATGGTGAGTGTATTTTATTTACTTTAAGCATATTTCCTTTTCCTCATGCAACCGTTTCTTTGCGTTTTCTGAAAGTACTCTGAACAAACGAGGCTGACGCGGTTACGTCGTCATTAGTTAGCATCATTGCTAACTGTACTCTGTTGCTGTTTTTCCACTCTTATTTTGATGCAGAAAGTCCCACTGAACATGAAGGTTCGCCAGATTCTGCTTTTGACTGTCCAGTCCTCCCCGCTTCTGACCCTTCCCGACCACACCAGCTCCGAGTACATGCATGCCACCGGGCACATGCACGCCACCGGGCAACACGCAGCAGAGCGGCACCGAACAGCACCCGTTACTAGGTAAGAAGCAACAATCGTGTTTAACATCACATTGATCATGTCGATATGAATGTTGTTTTGTTTTTGTTGTAAAACTCCTTGCATGTATTCAAACTACTTGTTTATTCAGTTGTAATGTATAAATGTTAAATTTAGTTATTCATTTATTACTTAAACTTTCATTTATGAAGTTTATTATTGAAATTATACAGGGTGTAGTGATTTTTGTTCAGATTAATGATGCTCTGTTCTTTTTCTAAATTAGCACAAACGGTTGTAAATGACTACATGTAGTTTATTTATGCCCACCTGCTTACTATCATTAAAGTACTAGACTGCTTTATGAACAGAATCATTTCTGATCTTGTAAACAAACACCTTTTGAAATTAGCAGGAACTCAAAATTAGCAGTAACTTAAAAACTCTACCTGTACTTCATCATCTAACAGCCATTTTCTTGTGTGTTATTCCTAGGCAATAGAAAGCGCAGATCAACAAGTGCAGCAGAGAGCTTTGTTTCTGCACATACAGAACAAGAGGAGATGAACCGGAAGCAGAGAGAGGAACACTTCCATTTTATTTGTGAGGATGTCAAAAAAGCAAGGCAAGAAGCAGCTGCGGAGAGGCAACGCCAAGCTGCAGCAGCGAGGAAGCAGGAGAAGGCCATTAGGAGGGAGGAGATGGCCTTGAGGAGAGAGGAAGCAGATGTTCGCAGAGAGGAAGCAGCACAGCGAAGGCTGAACAGAGTGCTGCTTTCAGTCAGGCACTCCTTGGGGTGCTGGAATCCATTGCCCGTTCCATGGCAAACAGACATGTTTAAAAATATTTAGAGTAGATCATAGTTATCTATAGAAATGTAGATCCTGCAAGGTAAGCCCACAAATAGCCAAACGTAGCTTGTTAAGTTTGCATATATAATTAGTGTATAATTGTTTTTTTTTGTACAGGTCTTTATTTCTAATAAAAGAAACATTTTCAAGTCTTGAGCTTCCATCTGATCATCAAAAGTGAAGTGCTTACAGTGTTTTTTTACGTCAATAGTGTAGCTGCGTGGTAAGCATAAACTCTGAAAGAGTTGTTAAATATCAAATCAAATGTAGGTTATTATGTAATGTACGAAATAAATATATATATATATATATACATACATACATATATAAAAATCAAATTACAAAAAGACTATTAATCCCAGAGGGAAATTAAATGTAACTCATCATCCTGGTTTCATTAAAGAGTTGTTCTAGATGCTGATGGCTGTGGGCAGGAAGGATCTCTTGTAGCATCTGTCTTACAAGGGATCTGAAGAAGTCTCTGGCTGAAGACATATACATATATATACATATATATATATATACATATACATATATATATATATATATATATATATATTAAAATAGATTAATGTATATATGCATAAACAAATATAAAGTTCTTGTTGTAGGTTTTGGTTCTTTGTTAAAAACAAAAATTAAAGAGATTACAGTTTTACTAAAACTACAGCCAGTAAAAAACGCAGCATATGTGATAGAAGCACAGCAGCAGTGTTTGTTTTGCCATTTTTACACGAACCTGGTAATAAGGCATGTCTGTACATTAAAAAAACAAGAATAATTATTAATCCATGTTTATTTTCAAATCAACACTTTAACGTTCACTTGTATCTAAGGAAGGCTGGGGAGGTAAAAAAAGATTAAGGGGTGGAATTAGGATAAGTTACAGCTCATGATCCATCAGAGCATCTCTGACACCTCGGCCCTGCTCTCCATCTTGCGGGACAGCGACCAGGATGGGCTGTGCGGCTGGTTCTGCTTCAAGTTCATGTAGGTCATCCATTTTGGTTGTGTGTTGTTTTCCAGCTCTTCTTCTAATGCATGTTAGTGGTGCTTAGAAAAGAGCTTAATGTAGCACTACCGCCACCAGCTGGTAAGGTGCATTGATATTAATAATCCGCCCACTAGAGGTGAACAATCCGCCCACTAGAGGTGAACAATCCGCCCACTAAACGGGAACTATAGGCAAAGGTGAGACACAAAAATAGAGGTCCCACTAGAACCGGACACAACAGGCTACAACAAGAACCAGACCTGTGGATAAGGGGCTTTAGTGACCGTCAGTGCTCTGACGTCATGTTTAGGTGCCGGTTCGGCCCGCTTGGAACCCCAGTGAAAATGGGTTCCGAAAAAAAGGACCAGTTCTACAAACTGTTACTAGTGGAAAAACTTTGGAACCGTACCGAGTCGAGTCGAACTGTGCAGTACCGTTACTAATGGAAAAGGGGCATTACGACACATTTTTGCCTGCTTTCATTCACTGGAGGAAAACTCACAATAAGAACTGTTTTTCATGGCAAACTACGCAGATATGTCGAGTACAAAATAAATATAATTTGAAATTTCACAGTACTTTTTTTCATTCAACCTTTATTTAAACAGATCAGTCACATTGAGCCTTGATGACTCATTTACAAGTGAGACCTGTTTGGACAGACAAAAAGTAGTGAAACTGGACACATGTAGGAATTGGAGGCAAAACAATTCCTATCAGACTTTTTCTTCCTGCCTGAGAAGAAAAACTCTGACATTAAAAAACACCTCGCACAAACAGCACATAGTGACATAGACATTTTGCAGAGGGGGGGGGGGGGGGGGTTGACGACGAGAGCGGTGAGCAACGTCCATAGACGCTCTCAAGGTCACTGTAAGAGTTCTGATAAGGACGTAATAATCAGCCAGGTTCCTCCGGTGAGATCTGTAAACATTCTCGAGGTATGTCGAGGAATGGCCAAGAATAACGTCTATGAGAATCCAAGAGTCCTGAAATGATGACACAATGTTCATTCAGCTGGTTTCATCTGGTTATCAGTTGGAAATTCCTCAGGGAGGGGGTGGTGAGCGTCAGATCACATGTTCTCCAGGCGAATTCAGATAAGGTGGCCTTCAAGGCCAGCCAAGGGAGCCAAATTCAGATAAACACACAGATGTTTTGGGGACAGGCAGAACTTAATGACATCTACCTTGAGTCTGTGTTGGTCCAAACTGTTCAGAAATGTCCAAATTACATGGCCACACCGATGGAACGTGACTGAGTAAAATCCCCAAGATCTGATCCATTCTGCCCAAAGCATTTGAGTCTGGGTACTCGAGACGTGAACCAAGCCATCATAAAGGCAAGCAGCATGATCGGGTCCCAATTTGCTGCCGACGACTTCCTTGACTGTAGATAAAACCAGTAACCAGTCGAATCCAAAAAGCAGGAACCAGTTATCATAAATCCAATTAAATATGCGTCCTTAAAATCCACAGATGGCAGCAGAGATAGACACATCATCAAGTCTTCCAGTCGATGAGATATCCATCTGCATGCGAACAGGGCAATCGGCTCACCTAAAGCCTGTCTTCTCTTCGAAGAAATGTTGTAAATTGAGTTGAGGGACCAACTGATCTAAACAAGTCCATAATTATGGTTCAGAAGATTAAACCCGTAGAAATGGTGGCGCAGAGATTAGAGACAGCGGGCCTGTGACCGGAGGGTCGCCGGTTCAACTCCATGGACTGACAACATCAAAATTTGGGTGGAAAAGGTGGAACACCCACACCTGCCTCCACCCTCATTTGCCCCACTCTGGGCCCATGAGCAAGGCCCTTACCCCCCACTCCCCCAGCTACTGCCTGGTCACCTGTGCTCCACATGTGTTCACATGTGCAATGGGAAAAATGCAGAGAATTAATTTCCCCTTGGGGATTAATAGAGTACAAAAAACATAGTGCCACAGTATTATACAAATATATCAGGTGGGGAAAAAAGAAAATGTAATTAGTTGAGAAAAATGTTTCAGTTTTATTCCTGTCAACGTGTTTGAGCGAGGACTTTCTTATTTTCCTTCTTTCAGCTGCTCCTTCTTCAGGGGTTGACACAGTGAACTAACCACACGAAGACTTGGTGATTGTAAATGGTAAATGGACTGTACTTATATAGCGCCTTTCTATCTGATCAAGATACTCAAAGCTCTTTACAACAATCTGTGCCTCATTGACCCATTCATACAGTTCTATACTAGATCTCTACAGAGATAATTGAACAAATCATTCTAAAGAGACTAATCAGAGTTTTAGATCACATTCATACACTGATGGGACACACATCAGAGGCAGTGAGGGGTTCAGTGTCTTGCCCAGGGACACTTCAGCATGTGACTGCTGGTGGAATCAAACCCCCAGATCTTGCATTGGAGGATGACTGCTCTAACCACTCAGCCACAGCTGCCCCACTCATTGACTGTCCTTCCTGAAACAACCACAGACCACCGAGCTACCACAGCTCTCTGTGTGGAGCACAGAGCTGCTATCTAGGGTGCCCGGGGGAGCAGATGGTGGGGGTTAAGGGTCATGCTCAAGGGCCCAGAGAAGGGCAAATGAGGGTGGAGACAGGTGTGGGTGTTTCATCTTTCACATCCATAGTTTGATGTTGTCGGTCCGGGGAGTCAAACCCGCGACCTTCCGATCACTGGACCACCTTCTCTAACCTCTGCCCCACCACTCCCCCAGTTTGAGTGAAGATGCAGACACAAACCCTTTCAGGGGGTTTAAAAAATAAAAACTGAGGCTTTTAAAATGTTCAGAAGCTTTTTCTAGATGAAGCCAAAATGAGAAATGTTACTTTCTAAATTGCAACATTTGAGTTATGAAAAAAAAATATATATATATAAGAAAATGTGTTCAAAATTAAAATACAACCCTAACTTTTTTCCCTGATATCACATGAATACAATTGGAAAATTGCACACAAGGTGAGTGGGCTATTACCACACCAAATTTGAGTTCCAAATCTGTAAAACTGACTTATTGTCATTTATTTGTTCATCGTTTGCTGCTGTTAACTGTTGCAGCCATCTTTACTGGGTTCACTACAAAATCCGACCCTTTCAAGTCCGTCCCGTCTCACAGTTTAAAGCTTCGAACTCCACACGCTCCAGCTTTGGACTGAGAAAGCTCCTGAATGGAAGGAGAAGCTCTTCAGGTACAGAGTAGAAGCTCAATTGCTTTGTTTTTAACTTTTTATATATCTGACTCCAAAAGTTAATCAGTTTCAGATAATGAATACTTCCTGAGCACTTCTTAAACCCTTTCAGGGGTTCAAACACCATCAAACGAACAAGCATTTTCTCCTTCACAGAGGTGATAAACATCTGTTGAAAGAAGCTCGTTAACGACGTGACGTTAGTATGTTACGTGTCAAAGTACTGATGGAACGGTTTCCTCAAAATGTTGCATTTTTCGAGCTGATGTGATCAGGCCTCGACTAATTTACTCAAATTAAACGCATGGAACAAGAACCACAGTGATTTCAGTTCAACATGTTTGTATGAAGTTAGCATGAAGTTAGCTCACCCCCAGCAGGTTGCGTGGGATGTACCCCTCTTGGTCGGCGCACCGTGCCCACCACCACTCCATCTCCACGTCGTCCTCCCGTCTCAGCACCGTCATGCAGTCTCCTTCAGTGAAGCCGAGCTCGTCATCCCTCTGAGGCTCATAGTCCCACAGAGAGTACACCACGCCACGGTTCATTACCCCCATCTTCTCCTGCACACCTAGGATGACACACACACGGGGAGGACTGTCAAAGTTGGAGTCATTAACAATGGAAGATGTCCATGTGTGTTTAGGATCATTGTCCTGATGGAAGTGGACCTCTGTCCCAGTCTCACATCTCTGAAAGACTCCAAGTTCCTCTGATGCTAACACCACCATGCTTCACTAGCTTGTTGACAGCTGGTAGATCTGCCTTAGATGTGGTTTGGTCTCTGACCACAGCACAGTCTTCCACTCATTTGAAGAAGAAATTCCAAACAATCTAGCTCCCCCTGGCCTTAATCAAGAACTTCATCCCACCACACTTCCATGAAGCCCACCTCTGTGCAGCTTCTAGCAGTCCTCTGGACAGAACCTTCCATCTCTGCAGAGCTGCAGCTCCATCAGGGTTATCTTTGGCCTCCTGGAGGTTTCTAAGATTATTGCCCTTCTCAACCACTCTGTGAGTTTAGGCAGATGATCCTTTTGTGCATATAAATGTTGTACATCTCTGGTCTATGGTTGATACAACACATATCTTCATACATGTCCAACAGTCTGATTCATCTAAGTTGTATGATGGACTACAACTGATACGATTCAGCCTTCAATCATGGTCTTTAACTTTTCTGTCATTTTTACAGATGATGAAAAAGCGAATCTTTTGTTTAATCAACTGGTCAGATTATATTGGTACGAGAACATAACTAACCAATGTCTCTAAATGTAATCTGACAATTGCATCAGTACTTGTCTGCTCTACCGATGCAACTTCATTGTGTACATGCAATCTGTTGGAATCGTACACACAGTATAGACGAAAACATGTAGGTTAGATTAACTCTAAATTGTCATAAGCTGTGAAATACTTCATTTTCTACAAATGATAGTGGTTGACCATTAATTATGATGAAGTTTAGCAACTCCTTGGTAAATATTCGTGCTTCGTGGTTTCAGTGAGGTCTTCTTCTTGTTCAATCCGCAGCAAGCAGTCTGATCTCGGTCAGCCGCGCTCAGTCTGACCCTCCTCCGACACGGACAGACTGAGCGCGGCTGACTGAAATCAGACTGCCTTCTCCAGACTGAACAAAAATAACAGACCGCTGAAGCCCCGGAGCTCGTATGTCCGATGTAAAATTAACTTTACCATGGTTTAATGTGGCGCTATGGCTCTGCAGACATTGCACGTTGCTGTCTTGTTTTGTGGTGTTTCTAGTGTAAAATACTTCCACACAGCGACATGTTTAGATGAAAAGTTGGTTAGCTGTTAGCCACAGTGCTGCTAACTCAGTCCTCACGTTGTAGCTGGCTGCAAACTATGAAATGGATTTCCTGAATGTGAGGCGGGTCTTATTACTCTGGGTTCATGAGACACGCCACCGTTCAGGAAATCCATTCCATAGTTTGAAGCCAAGGTGTATCATGGATCGGAAATATTGGTAGGTTGGATCGGAAAATCCGATACGTAAATTATGCTGGTATTGGAGCCCGATATCGATACTGGATCAGATAGGCCCCATCCCTAGTAATTATTTCAATCTTAACATGTGTCGTCTTTCCTCCTGGAGAAAGACCTGCCCCCTGCTCGCCTCCATTCTCGTCCTGCCATTGTGTATCTGTTTCTCCTTCCTGTTCCTCTCAAACCCAGCCGGTCAAAGCAGATGGCCGCTTGTCCTGAGCCTGGTTCTCTGGAGGTTTCTTCCTGTTAAAAGGGAGTTTTTACTTTCCACTGTTGCCACTGTGCTTGCTCAAGATGAGAGTCTGTGACAAAATGAAGACTCACTGTAATCTGCTGGCTTCCTTAGAAAAATAATGTTACTAACTGAAGTTTTATGTATGTAAATGTTTTTGTACAGTACCTGGAGATGACTTCTATCGTGACTTGTTGCTATAAAAATAAATTGAACTGAATTATATTCTGAGCATCTATGGTTAAAACAAGCCATAGGCGCTCATTTTAGTAAGCTTCTTCTTCTTCTTCTTCTTCTTCTTCTTTCGGCTTTTCCCTCTTCAGGGGTCGCCACAGCGAATCATCCTCCTCCACCTCACTCTGTCCTCTGCTCCTTGTAGCCTCACTGTTCCACCTCCTCCCTCTCATTTACACACGTACTCTGTCTTACTACGGCTGACTTTCATTCCTCTTCTTTCAAGTGCATACCTCCACGTCTCCAAATTCTCTTCCACCTGTTCCCTGTTCTCACCACAGATCACAATATCATCTGCAAACATCATCGTCCATGGGGATTCTTGCCTGACCTCATCTGTTAGTTGGTCCATCACCAGAGCAAACAAGAAGGGGTTCAGAGCAGATCCTTGATGCACTCCCACCTCCACCTTGAAGCTATCCGTCACTCCTACAGCACATCTCACCACTGTCCTGCTGTCCTTGTACATGTCCTGCTGTCCTCACATGTCCTGCTGTCCTCATACATGTCCTGTACCAGTCTAACATACTTTTCTGCCACTCCAGATTTCCTCATGCACCACACCTCCTCCCTCAGCAATCTGTCATATGCTTTTTCTAAAGACACAATGGAGTTCTTTCTGACCCTCTCTGTTCTTCTCCATCAGCATTCTCAAAGCAAAGATGGCATCTGTGATGCTCTTTCTTAACATGAAACCATACTGCTGCTCACAGTCACCTCTCATCTAAGTCTTGTTTTCACAATTCTCTCCCAGATCTTCATAGTGTGGCTCATCAACTTAATTCCTCTGTAGTTGCTACAACTCTGTACATCACCCTTGTTCTTAAAAATGGGCACCAGCACACTTCTTCTCCATTCCTGAGGCATTTTCTCACCCTCAAATATGCCATTGATTATTTGAGTCAAAAATCTCACTGCAATCTCTCAAGACATTTCCAAACCTCCACTGGTATGTCATCAGGCCCTACTGTCTTCCCCTTCTTCATTCTTTTCAGAGCTTTCCGGACTTCACCCTCCCTAATCTTTCCCACTTCCTGGTCCACAGTTTCTATGACCTCTACTCTTCTTTCTCTTTCATTCTCTTCATTCATTAGCTCCTCAAAGTACTCCTTCCATCTTCCCGTCACACTCTCCTCACTTGTTAGAACATTACCATTCCTATCTTTAATAAGCCTAACCTGCTGCACATCCTTTCCAGCCTGATCCCTCTGTCTTGCCAATACCGGTACAAGTCCTTCTTGCTCTCTTTATTGTCCAGTCTCCCATACAACTCATCGTACGCCCTCTGCTTTGCCTTAGCTACTTCCCTCTTTGCTCTACATCCCATCTCCTTATATTCCTGTCTCCTCTCTTCAGTCCTCTCACTGTCATATTTATTCTTGGCTAATCTCTTTCTTTGAACGGTGTCCTGCACTTCACTATTCCACCACCAGGTTTCCTTATCATCCATTCTCTGTCCAGATGACACACCAAGTACCTTCCTACTTGTCTCTCTAATTACTGTTGCTGTAGTAATCCAGTCATCTGGAAGCTCTTTCTTACCACCCTTTAACAGCTCCTCTCTGAATTTATCACAACATTCTTCCTTCTTCATCTTCCACCATTTGGTCTTCTTCTCTGATTTTACTCTTTTTCTCTTCTTCACAACAACAGTCATTCTACACACAACCATCCAATGCTGTCTGGCCACGCTCTCCCCTGCCACAACCTTACAGTCTCCAATCTCCCTCAGGTTTCCTTTTCTACACAAAATGTAGTCGACCTGCGTACTCCTTCCTCCACTCTTATAGGTCACTCTATGTTCCTCCCTCTTTTGGAAATAGGTGTTGACTACAGCCATTTCATTCTCTTGGTGAAATCCACCACCATCTGTCCTTCCTGGTTTCTTTCCTTGACTCCAAACCTACCCATCACTTCCTCATCCTCTGTTTCCTTCACCAACATGTCCATTCAGGTCTGCTCCGATCACCACTCTCTCCTCCCTGGGAATACTCTCCATCACTTCATCCAGATTTTTCCAAAATGTATCTTTCTCCTCCTCATCACATCCAACCTGTGGAGCATAACCACTGACGATGTTTAGCATCAGACCTTCTACTTCTACCTTCAGACACATCAAACCTATCTGACAGTCTCTTCACCTCTACTACATTCTTTGCCAACTCCTCCTTCAGGACCACCCCTACTCCATTCCTCTTTCTATCCACACCATGGTAAAACAATTTGAACCCTGCTCCAATGCTGCAAGCCTTGCTGCCCTTCCACTTGGTCTCTTGGACACATAAAACATCTACCTTCCTTCTCAGCATCATGTCAGCCAGCTCTCTACCTTTGCCTGTCATTGTCCCCACATTTAGAGTTGCAACCCTTAGTCCTACATTCTTCACTTTCCTCTTCTCCTCTGTCTCCTGACACGTTTCCCTCCTCGTGGTCTTCGACTAACAGTAGCACAATGTCTGCCTGCACCCTGTTTGTCAACAGCACCGGTGGCAGTTGTTGTTAACCCGGGCCTCGACCGATCCGGTATGGTTTCGCTTTGATGAACTCGCATTATGGTTTTGGCAAAAGTGTTTTACATCGGATGCCATTCCTGACACAACCCTCACCATTTACCCGGGCTTGGGACCGGCACAAGAGATTCACTGGGTTGTGCTCCCTAGTGGCTGATTTGCTCATTTTAGTAAGCTGATAACTGGAAATCATTTCATGACCCATGAGAACCACTGACCTAGAAGGGAAAAATGAACCTCTTTAGGTCAGTTTTGTTAGTTTTATCAAAATGTCATAGAAAGAGTAGATCTCCACATCCACAACCATCTTGAGCTACATCTCACCATAAAGGAACTGGGAGCACTGAGCGTAGCCCTCCTCCATCTCCTCACACTTGTCAGCAGCAGTCTGCATGTCGCTGTATGTGGTGGCAAAGACGGCCGCCCCACATTCCACCAGGAACTTACAAAGCTGCACGTTGTTGCAGGACGCAGCACAGTGAAGGGGAGTCCTGGAGGTGGACAGAGGTTACACTTGTTCACTTTCATACACTGAAGTGGCTGTTCTGAACAACTCGGACTCACCAGCCGTCACTGTCAGCAGCGTTGACGTTGACACCAAACTGAACCAAGAACTTCACAATCTCAGCGTGGCCGGCGCAGACGGCGTTATGCAGCGCTGTGATTCCTTCATCGTTGGGCATACTGGGATCATCCACCTGCATGATAAATGTCACCTGACATTTAATCTGAAGTTGATGATGTTCAGGAATTAAGATGAAAATATCCAAAATGTTTCATTCACTTTGATCTTAATTTTTAAACAAATACACAAAAATGTAAAAGGCCATCAATGAAACCATATTGTGTCACTTGCCACATTAATTTTATAAGGAGACGTGAAACTCGTTGACAACAGGATTCACCATGAAATTCAGACGATACATGCCATCTTCTCCTGTTTTCCTCTGTTTTCTCTTGCTCCGTGTGTCAGATGTTTAGTTCCTCCTCTGCCTCCTTTAGTGGTAATGATACATGTAACAAATGTAGTCTTATGGTAGCTTTGGAGGAGAGGCTGTCTGAACTGGAAGCTCGGCTCCAGTTAATTAATTAATGTTGCTTCGGTGTGTGACTTTGCTAAAACCATGTCGGACTCCGTAGTTTTCTCCGGCCCCCTCCCCAACCTGACCAGCGATGACATGTTTAGCCGTATGTCGTCGTTTAACCACTGGGTGTCCAGGTGGTGTTCTGACAACGACGTGGGCTACATAGATAACTGGAGTTCTTTCTGGGGAAAACCTGGTCTGATGCGGAGAGATGGCATCCATCCCACTTTGGACGGAGCCGCTCTTCTTTCTAGAAATATGGCTGATTTTGTTTATCCCCAAATTATTGACAACCCAGGGTCCAGTCCAGGAAGCAGAGTTGTAGTCCTCCACCTCTCTGCTGCTTCTCCTCTGTACACCACCCACACCCACATTGAAACAGTGTCAACTCGCCCACGGCTCAAATTAAATAAACCAAAAATCAGCTCTAAAAATATAAACCATAAAAATCTGATTAAAATAAACACAGTTACTTTACCAGAGCAAAATCATAAAATCATTAAATGTGGATTATTGAACATCAGATCTGTTTCCTCTAAATCCCTGTTAGTTAATGAACTGATAACTGATCATCATATTGATTTATTGTGTCTGACAGAAACTTGGCTACAACAGGAGGATTTTGTTAATATAAATGAATCCACTCCTGTTAATTATTTAAATTTTCATGTTCCTAGAACAACTGGCTGAGGTGGAGGAGTAGCTTCTATTTTTCAGTCAGGATTATTGATTAATGCCAAACCAGTTATTAGTTATGATGCTTTTGAATCGCTGTCCCTCAGTCTTTCTCATCCAAAATGGAAATCAGAAAATCCTGATGCATGCTCAATACAGGTAGAAAAATCTAAAAAAGTTAAATCTGGTCCTCTGGACATTCAAAAAAAAAAACAACAAAGCAAAACAACAAAAAATGTAGAAACGTTTCGTCTCTCATCCAAGAGACTTCTTCAGTCTGAGGTGCTGTATTCAGCTCAGTCTCTTAAATAGCACCTTCTCAGGGTGGATCAACCAGTTTTGCTGCTGACAACCAAAACCAGCTGATCACATGCTCAAGAAGGACCATCAGCCTAACAATGGATCATTAGCACACTGATGGCTGTTTACTATTCACAGAGGGCTGAGTGATACTAGCAATCACAGCATTGTAAGAGGGGGACAGTTGAACCCGGAGGCCTCCACCCCTGTTTAATGATGGACGGTTTCTTTTCACAAAGATGGCCTCCTTTACTCCTCTCTCAAACCATCGTTCCTCTCTGTCCAGGATGTGAACATCTTCATCCCTGAAAGAGTGACCGCTGGCCTGGAGATGAGTGTAGACCGCAGAGTCCTGGCCTGATGATGTAAGATTTTAGTTCATCTTACATCAATGTTGAACTCCCCCCTCCCTCCCCTTCTCTGTCTTCTCCCTCCCCTCTGCTGATGACATTGCTGACATTATCAGCAAGTCTAAGTCCTCAACCTGTCAGCTCGATCCATTTCCCAGAGTTCTTGTTAAATCCTGTCTCCCGTCTCTGCTCCCCATCATCACTAACATCATCCACTCCTCCCTAACCTCTGGGTCAGCTTGGGTTTCCTGAGCTGTCCCTTAGTTCTGCTGCTATAGGCTTAGACTGCTGGAGGACAAACTGACCACACTTTTCACTCTGCTACTGTCTTTACTTACTCTGCTCAACCTGTTTTGTATTTGTAATTATTTTTTCTATCCTAACATGCGTTTTTTTATCTTTCAAATACACCTGGACCTATACCTGGACCTGGACCTATACATGGACCTACCATTCTGTGTTCGTCTGTCTCTCCTTCCTGTCTTCTCAAACCAGCCGGTCAAAGCAGATGGTCTCTTGTCCTGAGCTGGTTCTGCTGGAGGTTTCTTCCTGTTAAAGGGAGTTTTTCTTTCCACTGTCTCCACTGTGCTTGCTCAGGATGGGAGACTGCAACGAAGCCAAGATTCAACTTGTCTGCTGGATTCCTTAGATAGAGAACTTTACTAACTGGCTTTTATGTGAATGTTCCTGTAAAGTCCCTGAGACAACTTTGTTGTGATTTGGCGCTATATATATATATATTTATATATATATATATATATATAAATAAAATATAAATAAACTGAACTGAATCTTTGGACCTGAGCACCTAAGAAATAAAACGTTGCAGGCTTTCACTGTGGATGGCATTAATCTGACACTAGTTCTAATGTAAAGAACGGGCATGACTGCCTTAGAGGAGTTGACAGGGGAGAGGGCAGGCCTCCGAGTCCATCTTATTACCAGCAAACTGTTTATTTCCACTCTGGGAGTGTCCTGTTTGTGGAGTTCAGTTTGTTGGTGGCTCCTCAGATTGAAGAAGTCCTTTGGATGAAGGACGAAATGTCTCCGCAACAAAAGAAACTGTGACCTGACTGAACATTGCTGGATTATTACCTGGATTATTGATCATGAACTATGATGTAATGTAAAGAACCTTAGTGTTACTTTTGATTCCTTAGATAAAATTTTTTACTAATTGGCCCTGAGGCAACTTTGTTGTGATTTGGCGCTTTATAAATAAACTGAATTGAATTTATCAGAATAAGTCACTGACCCCAACATTAACATTTTATCAGCCCTGCTTTCTTCTACTTGAACAATATCACTAAAATGAAAACATTTTGTCCCCAAATTATGAAAAAAGCTGATCTAAGCATTTGTCACTTCTACACTGTCGTAGTCCAAAATTTGTCTTCGGTTGATCTAAAATGCTGTTGCTAGATCTCAACAGATCCCATGTTTCTAACAGAGCTCTTCACTCTCAACCTGCATGGTTAGTTTCTAAAAGTAAACTTGGGGGCAGAGCTTTCAGTTATCAGGCTCCTCTGTTGTAGAATCAGCTTCCAGATTGTGTCAGTGAGGCTGACACCAGCTGAGGTGGTTTGCTCCTCTGGGTAAGATGTCCTCAGATATAAACCAAGAAGTTTTGTGTGTATTCCTTTAAAAATATGTTGTTTTTTTTGCCAAACCCAAATTATGTAATAACTAGAAGCTGGAAATTGAAGCTCCAAAGGATGAGCTCCCCCTTGTGGCTTGTTGCAGTACAATTTTTCTTTCTTTCTTTCTTCTTGGTGTGAGAGGAAGAGCAGAGGAGCAGAAAGTGAGAGTGTCTATTCATTCGTTTTTTCTGTCCTTTTTCTACTTTGTTCACTTGGTGTTTATGTTCATGTTAGTTATTTAATTGTGGGGTTTGGTGTTTTATTAGTTTAAAAAGTTTTGTTTGACAGGGTGTGGCCGTCAGGTGCACCTGGCTGGCCGGCGTCTAGACGCCATGGTGGTGGAGAGCACTGGGAGCTTCTCCACGCTGACGTGGAAAAACGGCATCAAGGTGAGTGCTGGTTCTCCGTGCAGTGTGGAGGAAGTTTGTTTAGTGGTGGGGGAGGTGGTTGGACATGGGTCCATCAGGTCCGCAGCTGCATGAACGGAGCTGTGGTCATTTTTGTTGATAAGGTGGAGAAGGCTCAACAGCTGGTTGAGGCTGGCATCTCAGTGGGTGACTGGTTTCTACAGGTGTCACCACTGGCATCTCAGTGGGTGACTGGTTTCTACAGGTGTCACCACTGGCATCTCAGTGGGTGACTTGTTTTTACAGGTGTCACCACTGGCATCTCAGTGGGTGACTGGTTTCTACAGGTGTCATCACTGGCATCTCAGTGGGTGACTTGTTTTTACAGGTGTCACAGCTGGCATCTCAGTGGGTGACTGGTTTCTACAGGTGTCACCACTGGCATCTCAGTAGGTGACTGGTTTTTACAGGTGTCACCACTGGCATCTCAGTGGGTGACTGGTTTCTACAGGTGTCACCACTGGCATCTCAGTGGGTGACTGGTTTTTACAGGTGTCATCACTGGCATCTCAGTGGGTGACTGGTTTCTACAGGTGTCACCACTGGCATCTCAGTGGGTGACTGGTTTTTACAGGTGTCATCACTGGCATCTCAGTGGG